GAGAGAGAGAGAGAGAGAGAGAGAGAGAGAGAGAGAGAGAGAGAGAGAGAGCGATATGAATAGACAGTCACACTATACATGATAAGTTGAAGGAGACAAGTACAGGAACCAAAACAAGAGGGGTTGGGGTGGGGTGGTACAGATCGAGGTCAGGTCAGTCCAACAAGACCCGCTGAAAAAACAAAACAAAACAAAACAAAACAAAAAAAATCCTCGCCATTTGGGCCATTCCAGGAAATGTGTCGCAATCAGGCAATGCAGGGGTGATAAACCTGCTGAAATATCTAAGCAATGATAGAGTCACTCTTTATTTCGTGTGTGTGTGTGTGTGTGTGTGTGTGTGTGTGTGTGTGTGTGCGTGTGCGTGTGTGTGTGTGTGCGTGTGTGTGTGTGTGAGTGAGTGTTTGCATGTGTGTGCGTGCGTGCGCGCGCGCGCGTGAGTGTGGTGGAGGAAGCTTCGAATTAACACCCCGCCCCCCCCCCCCCTCCAAAAAAAAATTAAAAAATTACCAACACAAAAACCCCAAAAGAGGTGTAAAGAATGCTTTAACTCGACTTCGATTTTTTTTTTCAGTGGGTCATCTTCTCTTCGTTACGCGTGCCACTTTTCATGGAATGTCCCATTTACGTGTTTGAAGCTTCCTGGTTGGTTAGATAATACATTAAGTACATAATATAAATCTTGAGTATATAAATATACATACAATGTTTTAATCGAATACATGCCTTATTGATTAATTGATAATTGATCAATTAGAAGCAAAGGGACCGCTCTGCGTATGTCGGGCGGGGTTTATAAATTAAATAATAAATGTGCATCGTCTTGGTAAAAGAAATTTGGTTTGCATTTTGTAGAGAAAGCAGCCCCCTTGGCCAAGCACAATGAACAAGGGGTAAGAGAAAGCATTGCCGGTTTGGCCATGGGTAAACTGAGCGCAGTTTACCACTCACCGTATGTTTGTGCCTCCCGATATGAAAATGGCTCGCGGTAAACTGACGGACATACAGGGAAGAAAAATACAAACATCAGATGAAGAAATTATCGTCATCAAGTGCAAGATCTGCGACAGATATTGACGATTATTGTTCGCCATTCATTTCGTTGCTCGGATGCCCCCCCCCCCCCCCTAAAAAGGCTATTATTATCCTGATCTTTCCCCGTCACCCATCTTTTTCATCATCATCACTATCATCCAGTGCCAGATCTGAGGCACATCTATGTAGGCGATCATGGTTAGGACCTATGCTCTTAAAAAAGCTACGTTTCCCCGATCTTTCCCCGTTACCCATTTGTTTAGGTTCGCTAAATAAGTTGCTCTGGGCCTACCACTGCCTCGTTTGCCTCCAACTTTATCAGTGCGAGCTAGATGTTCAAGGCCCTATGCCTATTCAGGCGTCCGAGAAAATGCAGAATTTGCCTCATCCCAATTATCATTATTAACCACCCAACCTGTCCCGTTTGTATAAAATATTAGTTTCCACACCCTACTGAACATTGATAGGCAATGCTGACAACGAAACACTACGGTAAGTCTGAGTTTTAAGTTCGAGTTCTTGCGTTTTGAGTTCTGAGGTTGAGTTTTGAGTTCTTTAGTTTGGATTTTGAGTTTTGAGTTCTGAGGTTGAGGTTAAAACTTTGATTTTGAAGTATGAGTCTGCATGGGTGTTGATTTCGAGTAAAAATAAGCAGATTGACAATGATGTCATATGTGCTGGGAAGAAGCAAGACATAGACGGAAACAACGGTGGAAAGAAAAGAAGTAGGACCTACCAGTGGCACTCAACAAAAACAACAGAGGGAAAGAAAATAATTATGTAGGAGCTACCAGTGGCGCCCTCCAACCACCCGCCAGTGGTATCAGTGAAGTAGGATGACGTAGGAAAGTGCAATGTAGAACGAAGACATAATACACATAAAGATTGTCTCCCACAAGAGCACATCAGCACAGTGTTCTAGTGTGCGCGTGCCTGTACGTGCGCGCGCGCACGCACGTGTGTGTGCGTGTGTGTGTGTGTGTGTGTGTGTGTGTGTGTGTGTGTGTGTGAGAGAGAGAGAGAGAGAAAGAGGGAGGTAGGGAGGGGCAGAAAGAAGGAAACAGTACGGGTGTGTATGTGTACATAATAAGTGTGTATGCTTGTATGTGTATGCGCGCGCGTGTCTTTATGGCAAAACCGGTCTCTCAACTATGGCTCTCATTTATTGCTTGCCTTTCTCGCGCCAAGTCCTTCCTCTATAACACACTTTAAA